TCACAAAGAAAAGCTTATGATTTTCTATCAAAGGCAAATTTCCCAAACGTTTGTGTGAAAAGAGCAGTTGGCTTCATAAAACTATAATAGCTTTAAGTAATGTCTATGAAAATTTTCAGATGTATATCAAAATAGCCAATACTGTTACTAAGTAACTTTTAAAAGCCTAAGACTTACTACTATTGTAATAAACAGCAGGTTTAGCTTTGACTGCACATACCTCATTATACCAGAAGAGGGCACTATTTACCCTTCTTTTTTTACAAAACTCACTCCTATTGAGGGACTCCTGACCTAAACTACAAACAGGACCACAAGGGGGCAATAACCACAAACATATGTGTAATCTTTGACTTCTAAATATTTTCAAAAATCCATGTTCTAAAAATGTAATTAAGATTATCACTTTCAGACAGCTGGTTCTCCTTTTTTTTTTTTTGAGACAGGGTTTCTCTGTGTAGCCCTGGCTGTCCTGGAACTCACTCTGTAGACCCCAGGCTGGCCTCGAACTCAGAAATCTGCCTGCCTATGCCTCCCAAGTGCTGGGATTAAAGGTGTGCACCACCACCGCCTGGCTAACAGCTGGTTCTCCTTAACAAGACTAAAAAAAAATAACCAAGCACACAGACACTGACACAGACAAACTGATAGACACACATACAAAAAAACACAACACACACACACACAGGCACATGCGTACACAGAGACACATACACATAGACACAAGCCACACACAGAGACACACCTATACACACTCACATACAAACAGATATAAGGCACTCATACACACATACACACATATAGATACACACATATACACATAGGCACACACAAAAACACACAGGCCTGCACATACACATGTACACAGACACACATGCAATCAGACAGATAAGCACACAGGTATACACACAGACACTGTACCCTCCACAGATACACACAAAGGCACCCATACAGACACGTAGACACCACACACACATACACACAGAGAAATAAAGCTAGACACAATGCACACACACAGACACCCACCAACAGACACGCACAGATGTACAGAGACAGGCACACACACAGACACACACTGACAGACACATATACAGACACACACAGAGAAAGCAGAGCTGGGTTTTCACAAGGCCTGGGAGCTTTCTAGTCTGCAGTCATTTCCACCTCATCTCTCAGGTATGACCAGTCTTCACAGTTTTCTGCTCTCTGTCTTAAGCTTCTCCAGTTTTCCCTCTATTGACTTCTTCCTCACATTAAAGATGCTCAAGCAAGGCGACAGTGAATGAGATACTACTGTTATGCATTACTGTCTAACCAAGAGCACAGCTCCTAATGGTTTCTAGTAGGTCTTAAGCTGATTGTTTCCATTATCCTTGGAAATTGAATCTCAAAGGAGGCTGTGATTAAATTAGGGTCCCTGAAATCTTCTAGTGCTTCAGTTTAAAGGGTGTATACTTTTAATGCTCACACCGGCCTTCTAAAATGTGACAGAGGCACTCCTCAGAGACGAGCAGACTGGACCCTGAACTCCCACCACAGAAGAGCCAGTCAGAGGACTCAGATGGAACTGTGTGGTCCTCAGACATGCACAGAAGAGAAGCACCTCTGCCACTCCAGCTAATGAAATGGCCATGTCTGGGAAATCCCACCTATAGAGTCCAGTTATACAAACAGGATTGACTGCAATAACTGAGTAGTTAGGAACTTACGGTTACAGGAAGTAATCATATAGTGGTAGAAGGGGAAGTATATGGAAACGGTATTAGTCACCATTTTACAGAAGCTCAGTAATCTGCACAGTTTACACAGTTCAGGTGACTGACCTCAAACCTAATGAGCCTTTACACTCACACTATCACAGATATAACCCCTCACACAGAAATGGAGAGTGTGAAAGACAGCAGACACTCAGAGAATAAACCAGGATGAACGTGACTGCCGATGACCTCTAACTCCTAACAAAGTGGAAACAATGCTCTAGTGGTGGGAGCTGCTCCAGCAATCTTTCAGGAAAAGCTTATAATAATATAGATACAGTACGAGGCCGTTTGCCTCAGAGCAAACAAAAGCAAGCCGAGAGCATCTGAACTACTCTCTATCTAACCGACATGTCAGAGGACCATCGGAGGAGTGCCCACGCTTATTGGGTAAAGTCAGCTTCATAAAAGCTGAGGGGCAGGTAAGGCAAAAACATTTTTCTCACCTGTAAACTAGAAATAAAGCAAGGCCATGTTATGAAACGGTGACCACAGCCCAGGACTTTGTCTCTAGTCTGGCGTTCTTGCCAGTGAACCGACATGACATGGTAATCAAGAAGACCCTGAATCTCAGTAAACCGTATCATTAATGTACAGCACTTCAATATACGTACCGGGGTGAAGGCAATAAGATCTCAGAGTTGAGCACTAGAGGCAGTTCAGCAAGAAAGGATACTTGGCATGCAAGTCTCACCTTAGTTTGATCTTTGTGGTGCACAGAGAGCTGGAAGGACAGAACCCACCGCACATGCGCACTGTGGCATCCTCCTGTTCCCTACCTCATATCATGCACACGTAATAATCATAAATAATTTAAAACTTTTGTTTGCTTTATGTGTATGTGTAAGCGACTGCAAGCATGTATATGTACCGTGTGAGTGCCTGCTGTGCACAGAGGCCAGAAGACGGCACTAGACCCCCAGAACTGGTGCTACAGTGCTAGGAACTGAACCTGGGTCCCCTGCAAGATCACAAAGTGCTCTTAACCACTCACTGAGCCATCGCTCCATCCCATAAATAAAAAGCCCACATGTGTGAGTCATCTTCCTTCACCTTCCTCCCCTTTAGGATTTTGTCTCACTCTTCCTATGAGCTTTGTCCAAGTTTTCAGACAATTACTTCCTTCCCAATTCAAAATACCGTCTTTTCCAGAAGGCTATTTCCCCATGGGAAGGCGGCATATCCCACCATCCTCTATGATGCACCCCTACCTTTCTCTCTTAGCTCGTTACATGTTTTCATTGTTTCTTTCTTTTTTTTTTTGTTTTTGTTTTGTTTTTTCGAGACAAGGTTTCTCTGTGTAGCCCTGGCTGTCCTGGAACTCACTCTGTAGACCAGGCTAGCCTCGAACTCTCGCACTCAGAAATCCGCCTGCCTCTGCCTCCCAAGTGCTGGGATTAAAGGCGTGTGCCACCATTGCCCATGTTTCTTTTTTTTTTTTTTTAAAGATTTTAAAATTTATTTTATGTATGAGTACACTGGCTCTCTTAGACATGTCAGAAGAGGGCACTGGATCCCATTACAGATGGCTGTGAGCCACCATGTGGTTGCTGGGAATTGAACTTAGGACCTCTGGAAAAGTACTCTTAACTGCTGAATGCACAGACTTTGAATAGCTCACCACCATATCTTTAGCATCCGAGAGTTGATAGTAGATATTCAATAAATACTTGATCTTTTCTAGGAAGGATGATATATAAAATCTACATATAAATCAATATATAACTTATGAAACTATCTGCCTATACCATCCATATCCATCCATCCATCCATCCATCCATCCATCTTTTTTCTGAAAGTCTGGCTGGCCCCAAACACAGATACACCTGCCTCTGTCTCCCAAGTGCTGGGATTAAGGTGTGTGCCACCATACCTGTAGGAACTATACTTTTTAAATGACTGCTATAGGAGGCTGGAGAAATGGCTAAGCAGTTAAGACCATATACTGTTCTTCCAGACTACCCAAGTTTCATTCTGAAAATCCACATCAGGCAGCTAACAACTACCTGTAACTCCAGCTTTAAGAAACCTGATGCCCTCTTCTGGTCTCTGCAGGAGCTCCACTCACATGCACACACATACACACACATGCACACACATACACACACATACACACACACACACACACACACACTTAAAAATTTTTGCATAGAGATGGGTATAGTTTGGAGGTAAACACCTGCTTGGATGTCTGACTGAGGTTCTTGGTTTGAATTAGAATTCCATAAAAATAAACAAAAAAATCTCAAAATAAATATATGGTCCTGAAATAAGTGTTTTGATATATGTTGAAAGATATTAGTAGTAAATAAGGAGTTAACGTAATTAAGAAACTCAAGGATTTAAAACAAGTGTTCTACAACACTCACAGCCAGTAAGTATGGCTATTAATCTTGAACTGGTAAGATAATTTTTTTGATAAAATACATACTTAATTACTAGGAGAGAAAATAAGTGATAAATATATACCCTTTAGATAAAGTTTAGTGAGAAACCCTGTCTTGAAAAACCAAAAAAAAAAAAAAAAAGATAAAGTTTAGTGTTTGATATGACTCCATTTATTAAAAATATATATTATAGAAAATCTATACTATAAACAGCATACTTATATCCTAAACATTTAAAAATCTGATATATAATAAACCAAATTTCAAACGTG